GAAACAAAAGAACATTCTGACAGATAGTTGAGTTGGTGGAGATTGTCTTTACTCCCTATGGAATATGAGAAGTGTGATGTTTATCCTATTGGAGTGAAAAATAGACCATGAATTTAATAAGAAGCTTATTATATACTACGTCTACATTTTTGGTTTCTCTGGTTCACTTTCTAATGTTGATTGATTGGTTGAAATGTCCCACTGTTGTGACCGGTAATGGGTATTTCTGAGATCATAGCTGAGCAGTAGAAAGCACTTCTATTTTTAATAAAACTGCCCCCTGGGCAAGAAAATGGAATACATAACTTCGCTTACGCAATGGTCTCAGGTATGCTGGGCACCTTGTGTAACATTTTCTGGAGAGGTTCATCTGCAGTGGTAACCAGCTTGTTGCAGTTATCCATGTTTATCCATCAGTTAACTTGTTTATTCACATGGACAGTGGCACTTCAATGAGCACCATGAAGAGCACCAACCAAGTCTGTGATGACAATAAAATCATGGTTTGATGAAGACCTCTTCTGATCCCTATCGAAAATGGTGGCTAGGTCTTACTGGATAGCACTGGCACCCTTTAGGGGTGAAGTAGGGCAAGGCCTGAGGTGACAAATCTATTGTGCAACAGATATTTGGATAATATGTATCTATAACTAAAACTGGCTTCCACAGGAGGAGATGCTGGGGTGAGGTCAAGCTATCTCCATGGCGAATGCAGTACAATACACTGCAGGTGATAGTAAGCCAGGCTGTTCCTGTGACAGAGGCAAATCACATTACTGGCTTCCGGTCAAACAGAGGATCCAATTCAAAGTCCTTATTCTAAAGTATTCCGCTCTGAATGATGTGAACTCACCAGGTTTCCTGAAAGAACTTGTTCAAGTTTACCATCCTACTCGTGCTCTGAGGTCTGCTCACGATCAGAGACTGGTTTACCAAACACAAAGACAAAGTTGGCAGAAAGATCAGTTTGAGTCGCTGCTCCTAAGCTATGGAACTAATTACCCCATACTAACATCTGCAACATCAATTGAGATATTCAAGACAAATCTGAAAACCCACCTCTTTACAAAGGTTTACTAACTTGTCTCTTGACATTGCTGACACAAGCGCCGCTGAGCAGCTGCAAGATAGGGGCTCTACAAATTCATTAATATTTTATTACTCATCTTTCTACCACTGAAGCTGTGTTATTACACACAAAACTCTGCTTGTTACTATGAAAACACAACACCATTTAGAAGTGGTCTACTGTAACATGTTATATTTCTGATTACATTTTCTTAGTGAGGCAGTTATTGGCCATAGTGTGTGTTCAAATCCTGGATTGGACTCATTTTGGAAAAGTATTAGAATCTACTTATTGAGAAAGTGTAATCTCCATTATAGCATGATTTGCTGATTATTACTTTTCACCAAAATGATAAGTGGGTGGTATATTAACAGTGCATGGCACGGAATTAGTGGAAGAGAGGCATGGTCTTCAGATGTATTTCATGAGCATTTTCATTTGTACCACTCAACATTTGCTTAGGAGCACACCTGTAAAGATTATTTGGTCCATGGAAACGATGTTCATCAGTCCACAGTAAATACAGAATGATTTCACTGCAAAGAGTGACAATATATTGACCAATATAAAAGTTCATATATATGCATCTGCCAGCAATAATCCAGCCATATTAACCCAAACAACAAACATGTCCTGATGTGATCAACAATATACTCTCTCATGTAAACTTGCCTGGGTTAGATGACATTTCTATGACTTTTGCTTACAAACATCAAAGAGAACATGTTTAAGACAAAACTGAATATATTACTGTTTACTGGTTCCTGGTGTGGTGGCATGCATCTGGCATCTGTGGCCCTTGCACGAATCCTCTCTCTATCATTAATAACGTTCAGGAAACTCTCCCATGATCTGTTGGTGTCGTTGACTTCTTTCATTGTCATGTTAGTATGTGTCCTTGTTTCAGCAGGTTTTGGGCACCTCAGAATCATGTGGGCAATTGTTTCATCTTCTTGGCAGAGCTTGCGGATTGGATTACCTGCTAACTTGAATCTATGCAGGTATTGCAGGCCAGGGCTTAAGTGGTTCAGCTTTAGCGGTGATATTGTCACCTGGTAACTTGTCGCTGATGATTCTTATATCTGCACTTCTTTGGTGAAGGTTGGCTTGCTCAGTATTCTCTCGTTTTGTCTGAGGTAGTCCATTCTTCCATCTTTTTCTTAGTGAGTTGTTGATGAATCTTGCTTGTTAGTAAGGAGTCTCTTTCGGCACTGGTCCGCTCTCTGCTGCAAGCTTTGCAACTGTATCAGCCTCCTCGTTGCCTTTGATGTCGACATATCTTGGAATCCATTGCAGAGTTATCCTATAGTTGATGTTTCGAATACTTCATATGATGTCACGGCAGCAGTCACAATTATTTATTGACATACTAAATGACATAGCTGAGGATTTTAAACTCTCTTTGTTTTCACTATGATGTCTTCATACCTTTGTCAAGCAAGATAATGGATATTTCCAGTCTTCAATCAATATACGTAAACTCTAAATAAACTTCTGTCTTGTGCTGTGGGACTTGTCTCGGGTCAAGGTACTGTATTCCTCGGCAGGTATGTCATCACTTACCATTTGTTCACATATACTACAGCTTTGTATGATCATGTGGGTTCTTGTGGATGAACTAGAACACATTGCCTGGAAAGCCAAGCATCAGTGTTTTTATCTTCTGGATACATCATACCAAAATAAGTCAGATGCTGGAGCATAGACAGATCCAGAGGAGGGGTGCACAACCCCGTTTTGTCCTGAAATTATTATTAATTGACCATTGAAGCTCTCGTGAAAACGGGTGAAAATGAATTGTGCACCTCCCCATTTCTCAATAAGCTGTGTCTACCCCTGTGTTACTTCTTGTTACCCAGCCTGGCGCTGGCTTAAAGCCTGAGTTTATTTGTGACGTGGTATCCCCTGAACTGGGACAATAAAACCAGAAGAAGTTTGGACTTGTACAAATAGCCACACGCACACTTACCATTGAAGTGCTATAGCATTGAACACAGCCCTATTTTACCTCATCTCACCTCTACAATATTAAAAGATGTCTACTTGCAATTTTTGTTTTCCTTACTTGGGACAAAAAATGTCTGTTAATGGGTCTTCAGACCCAGACTTTCTACTTTAGCTGCTCTTCAAGCTATCATTGCTGCACAAGTGTCAGGTGTCCATCCTAAACAAGATAATACCTCAGATTCACAAAAACATTTCATCTGGGAAAACAAAGATGACATGCAGCAACCTGATCTATTAATGGATGCCATCTCTATCCAGGGATCAGTAAGTTTAAAACAACATTTCATAATATCATCAAGTATAAAAGCTTAAAAAGAATAAATCAACACATAATCAACTCATGAGGAACAAAAATCCATATAATGTACTCTTTGGGAATAAAATTGCACATGCAGTTCCCATGAGGAATAGAACCCCACATATTGTGTTCGTGGCGAGACAACTCCATATCATGTTCATGGGAAATAAGACTCCCCATGGTTTACTCATGAGGAATTGAACTCCATATGTTGTGTTCATGATCAGAATATAACTCCACATACTGTGTTCTAGGGGACATAACTCCACATTGTATTCCTGGGGAATAAAACTGCACATACTCTATTCATTAGGGATAAAACTCCATCTGCTGTACGAACAAGGAATTAAACACCACATTGTACTAATGAAGAATAAAGATCCGTAGTTGGTTGAATCCTGGTATCCCTGATCAATGAATGACGAATGAATGGGAGCTACAGTTAAGCAGTAGGCTGCATGTCATAGCTTCATTTCTTTTCCACTTCAAAATGTAAATTTAGCTTGCAAGAAAAGAAAATGAAAATTGAAAGCAGATATTACTAGAACTCATTTTTTGGGTGTAGATTCTATGGCTCTTCTATGACAGGCAGCATACAACATCCACAACGATGGGATCGCTCGGCTGCAGAAGTGGTCCTGTCATTTCCTGTACATATGTCCTGGTGAGAATCAAAACTCATGCTGAGGATTAAGTTGCCTCGTCACCAGTTGGCTGATCAGAAAGTTAACCTACACATCCTTTGAGATTTCCATGCACAGAGTTTTAAAATCAAGTAAACGATGTAATATTAATGAACATGAAAGATGAAAAATCAATGCATTGGACTCTTGTGGATAACAATGTCAAATCTTGTACTTATTGAAAAAGAATTCAAGTTTTGGTGATATGATGAACATGTCAACAGTGTTACACACTGAGGATGAATATATGTTTATGTAAATAAATAATTATTGTTCATTAGTTAGACATCATTGGGATGAGTGAGTGAGTATTGTTTTAGGCCACTTTAAGCAATATTCCAGCAATATCATGGTAGGGAACACCAGAAATGGGCCTTACATGTAGTCCCGGCTCTTCAGGGTGATGCGCAGATGCTATAATCATTAGGCTACACCACCAACCCTTATTGGGATGAAGTGTTTGATAGTACACACAGTCAAAGGTCAAAACTTGTTTCTGCTTTGTTCACTGTCTGAATGACGACTTCAGTATATTTAGGAAATCATCACCCATCATGCATACATTAAAACAAATTTTGAATATAGATTTGAGAGAAAGATTTAAAGTAAAAGTAGTGGGTAATATTTGTCATGTAATGAAGGACTTTTGATAGATATCAATGATGATCCAAGAATATTCATATCCATAACCATTTTCCTTGAACAAAACCAATTAACAGATTCATACAGTACTAGTAAGTGATGCCTTTCATTTCTTGGGATCAATAATAATATTTTACGGTTTTAGAACAAAGAACAGTATTATACACCATCCTTCATCTAAAAATCATTTTAAAATATGCAAACACTAAAAAAAAATATTTTCAAGACGTAAGGTTGAAGACGGGATACGAACCGCCAAAGTTCGTGATGCACACTCTGCTTTCTCGCCAGATGGCAGTTTTCATGAAAATAAATGACGTCACGTGTGGACGCCATTTTAGGTGAGGAGTTGTCGTTTACGTTTCACAAATGAACAATATTTGAAGGATATCGGTAAATGCCAACTGTGCACACAGATCAGGCAGGCACTGCATTTATCAGAGAAACGTGTCTGGTGTGTTTCAAGCGATAAGATGACCATTCTGCCAAAGAAGAAACAGTCAAAAGATAAGTCTGATACGGAAACAACCGACCACTCGCATACAGCAACGCACAACCATTCTCACAGCCACAACCATTCACATTCTCACTACCATCACGCGAACGCCAGTGAAACAAGACACGAGAAAGGTGCTAGAGGAAGAACTTCACCTACAAGATGGCTTCCTTCAACGTCAAGGGAAGAAAAAGTTCCAACTCACGATCCTGGTGGTGGGACTTTCGAGAACCATGAAAGTTCGTCGTTGACATCGTCGCATAATAAACGGCGTCATCGCTCGTCACCACACAGGACTGTCAGGAAGCACAGGGGTCATTCCGCGAATGTACCCCCTCTTTCCCCACACAGTCCAACAGAAGGACCCTCCCAGGAATGTGAAGACCCATACAATAGTGAAGATGAACACAGTCCACCCACTCTGCCGGAGGACATCAAGGAGGTAGAATATACATTTGAAAATATGGTGTTGATAAGGAAGATGCCAAAATATTAATCGTTTTTTCGTGTCTTAGGGGTTGTTTACAAGTCTGTCAAGACTAAAAGATTGTGCTGCTGGGTGACAATATGAAATTAGGTGATCATTTCACGGACATTGTAAAGTAAACAAATGTCAGTACAAAGTCTATTCAACTTCGAAACTAGGGTATGATATTCACATACAGTCTACAGTATCTATGACTGATATTATGATAAAATACTTATTTGAAAATTTAAAGGGTTTACTACAAATATATGCAAAACCATTTTAGCTATGGCTGATAGTAATGATACCAGTCAATATGTGATTAATAATGGATGTATGGTAGTGCAAATATCGTCAATATCAACCAGTGAAGAAATGAATCCACTGTTGCCAAGTGTAAGCTTGCAATGTGTTGCCGTATTGCAAGATACCACAACAATTACCTCACTGTATGCAGTTTATGAAGTAAGCCAAAAACCAGCCAGACGTCAGGGCTGGTAACTTCAAAATGTTACCATCCCAAAATGGATTTAACCAGACCAAATATGGTGAATTTATTCAGATGTAAATTGAGACCGTCCGTCAGAAATCTAGACCGTCTCGGGCTGTCGGACGGGCCTTATTTCATACACTGCTGTATGTGATTTTGTAATGTTGTAACTTCAACAGTTTCGATGAGCATAGAACGTCCAAGTAAGAGCTGAGTTCACAAATCATTGACGATACTTAAACAGCACATAAAAATATTACTACAAATGGCCTGTGTAGGTTTTACTGTACAGCTGAGAGACCATTCAAACTAATAATAACAATCTCCCAGCTGTTGCCATTGTCGTGACACTTATGTTGATGATTCTCGCATGCATAGATACATTATATTTTATGTAAACAGAATAGTTACTCAGCACAGTGGTTTCACTTGATATGAAAAGGACTTGTCATGAAAAGAATTTTGTAAGACTGGTAAATCATATACAAACTTGTCAATATGTTTTACAATAGGATTTACAACCATAATAAACAGTCATCAACAAGGCCTGTATATATGGAGAAATTATCTGTGTAACAGTCTGTGATATTAGCCACAGGTCTGAGCCCTAAGTCTTATACACTGTATTTCTGATCGACTAAGATCCGCACAAAACGGGGATGTGGTCCTCAAGCCCTCTGGTTGGTCAATGCTGCTAAATCTGCACATTCTTTATAAATTCTCGGGAATTTTTACTTTCATCGACTGCTTGACTTGGAAGAAATGTAAGATTTTTTTCCAGCAATGGCTTCTAAAAAGAAAGCATCATTTGTAAATGTCTCTTTAACAAACATCAACCAACCAGAGGGCTTGCCTCGACCTCACCCCAGTTTTGTGTGGATATATCGTCAGCCATTTGTGTCAAGATCGTTTAGTTGAGAGTCCAAATCGGGTTTCAATCAACTAGCAGAAATAACAATAAAGAATTGATAGGTGTCATGAGTGGTGCTCGATAGGCCAATCATCCATGATCATGTTTGCATTAAGATTTAATCGATTGTATGCGATGGTAGCGTAGCGATCGGCAAAGCAGTCGGGTAGGGTGCACCGAAGTGTCCGGCCTTGTTGTCATAATGTATTATACTGTGAAGCATTTCGAGTCAGGGTTCATCTCAAATTTTTGTATATATTTTATAACATCTTTGATCCTCGCAAAGACACGAGGGCCTGTGTATACATCCCCATCATTTTGTTATGACCCGTGAAGGTCCGGGTTAGAATGTGCCTTTCGTAACCCATGCTTGTCGTAAGAGGCGACTAACGGGATCGGGTGGTCAGGCTTGCTGACTTGGTTGACACATGTCATTGGTTCCCAATTGCGCAGATCGATGCTCATGCTGTTGATCACTGGATCGTCTGGTCCAGACTCAATTATTTACAGACCGCCGTCGTCATATAGCTGGAATATTGCTGAGTGTGGCGTAAAACTAAACTCACTCACTTCTTATGATTATTGCAACATAACTGATCATGCTGATGGACCTCAATCCAACAGAGTCCACAGTTCATGTTACGTTTCAAGCCTTACTGCATTTATTAAGAAGACCTCCTCCCATCATGAGGATAAGCTCAGCTCAAAGCACTGATATTATATCCACACTGAAGTTCTCCCCTGAAATCACAGTTACAAGTTTACAGCCAGAATAGGTTTCAAATAACAATTACTTGGTTATGTGGTCATTGTCCAGGGGGACTTGAGGTAATAAATTGTATCTGTCCCATGCATTAAAATTGGATGATGGTTGACCACTCTCCTTCGTGTCAATGAGATATCCAGGGGATATTTTTTCTGACCTTCCTAAATTTGTTTATTATTTGCATCAGGTAAAACCCTCTGTGACTTGACTGATACGTTATCAGCCCTGATGGTGTGTGCATCACATACTTATTGATAGTCTACTTTGAATCTGCTATGTAGCTGAAATATTGCTGTCTGCAGTTTTAAAGTTCATCAATCATTCTTTGAAATCAGCTGACATAATTTGGTATGCTGCGAAGCTGTATAATCAGGTATAATAGGTGATACAATCCAACCACACAACAGGCAAGTTAGAAATATGTTAGCTTGCACAGATTGTTTGGTCGAGTGCTTAATATGTTTCCATGTTTATAGATAGATGAGTCCCAATTATATCCCTTGATTTGTGGATGATGCATAAATGTTTTTGAAAGCAAGAAATCAATTAACAAATGGAAATTGAATGAATATGCTGAAAGAAGGATTTAAACGATTAAAAAATATTCTTTTTTCTCTTGGGATGTTACTTGACTGACCTTGACAGAGAAATACCTCTTGTTTCAAGGAATGTTGTGTAGCTTGATTAGATGTTTAAGGAACATAAGCAACACCTGAGACAATGTTTGCCGTAGTTGGCTACAAGCCCAACTAAGCTGATGCCAGTACATGTTTGTCTGTTGTGACGTCCACCTTTGAAAGAAACAGTTGTATAGAAGAATCTGAAACATTGCATAAACCTTTTTCCATTGACAACACCAGTGTGTTTTTCATTTAATTACTTGTAATGATTTTCGGATGAAGACTTAAAATTTGCATCTCCTTGCAAAACCATTATCTTCTGTTGACATCTTAAAATCAACGGTGAACTACTACAGGTGATTGGACAAACAATTTGTTTTTCCTCTTTCAAAGTTCATGTGATATATTTGCCATGAGGTGTTGATATCTGCTTTACACACAGACAGGTTATAAGAGCAACATGCATCTCAGTCTGCCTCTTGTTTCAGCTGGAGAGGTGGTTTGAAAATGCCATGAAAGAAAAGAAAGGTTTTCTTATAAAGAAGATGAAGGAGGATGGTGCTTGTTTATTCAGGGCAGTCGGTAAGAACCCTTTTATATGGCAGACCATCAGTGTGGACCCTTGATTTTCTCTCAACTCTCACAATTTGTTTTGTGGAAGGTATCTCAGTTGGCCTGTTCGTGCAAGTATCAGTCTGGCAAGATGATGTTTCTAGAATAGATCTTGAAAACCTTGCTGTTTTCCTGCACCAAACCTGATACATTGACTGATTTAGCAGTAAACTGGTGCCTTTGGATAGTTTGAGAGTTTTGAAAGAAAAATGGTATTCTTGGTTCATTATATTTGTGTTTCACACTTGATTTCTTTTTGCATATATAAATCTAATTAGCAGGTGTTTATGTTTCAGCGGACCAGGTTTATGGAGACCAGGAAATGCATTCTTGTCTACGCAAACACTGTATAGATTATATGGTGAGTCAAACACTAGAGATTGTATGGCAAGTCAAACACTGTATAGATTGTATTGTGAGTCAAACACTGTATAGATTGTATGGCATGTCAAACACTGTATAGATTGTATGGCAAGTCAAACACTGCATAGATTAGATTGTATGGCAAGTCAAACACTGCATAGATTGTATGGCAAGTCAAACACTGTAAAGATTGTATGGCAAGTCAAACACTGTATAGATTGTATGGTGAGTCAAACACTATAGATTGTATGGCAAGTCAAACACTGTATAGATTGTATTGTGAGTCAAGCACTGTATAGATTGTATGGCAAGTCAAACACTGCATAGATTGTATGGTGAGTCAAGCACTGTATAGACTGTAAGGCAAGTCAAACACTGTAAAGATTGTATGGCAAGTCAAACACTGTATATATTGTATGGTGAGTCAAACACTGTATAGATTGTATGGCAAGTCAAACACTATAGATTGTATGGTGAGTCAAACACTGTATAGATTGTATGGCAAGTCAAACACTGAATATATTGTATGGCGAGTCAAGCACTGTATAGATTGTATGGCAAGTCAAACACTGCATAGATTGTATGGTGAGTCAAGCACTGTATAGACTGTATGGCAAGTCAAACACTGTATATATTGTATGGTGAGTCAAACACTGTATAGATTGTATGGCAAGTCAAACACTGTATAGATTGTATGGTGAGTCAAACACTGTATAGATTGTATGGCAAGTCAAACACTGTATAGATTGTATTGTGAGTCAAGCACTGTATAGATTGTATGGCAAGTCAAACACTATATATTGTATGGCGAGTCAAACACTGTATAGATTGTATGGCAAGTCAAACACTGTATAAATTGTATGGTAAGTCAAACACTGTATAGATTGTATGGCAAGTCAAACACTGTATAGATTGTATGGCAAGTCAAACACTGTATAGATTGTATGGCGAGTCAAACACTGTATAGACAAGTTGGTGACGAGAAGTTATTTATCAGCACTTTCAAACAAAGGTTACAGGATATCTTTATCCAGGATTGGCATTTGTCTATTTCTACCTCAAGTTATCTGTCATTATACTCTGGATTTAAAACTGATTTTAACACAGAAACATATATTACTTGTCTCCAAGACAAGTCTTTGGTACGTGCATTCTGTAAATTCAGAATAGCATTGAACAATCTGAAGGTAAATGCATACAGGAAGGAGAAACAACAGTACGACTATACCATCTGCTGTGAACATTGCATGGATCTCAACATCGAAGATGAAGTTCACATACTATTTTCCTGTCCAAAATATTCTGCATTTCGAATGAAATATTTACCTTGGTTAACTTCTGTTGTGCCAAACAAACGTAACTTCATCAAACTTATTTCTTCACAAAATCCACAAACAATCAAATTACTATCATTATATTTGAAGCATGTATTTAATCCACGCCGTTCTTAATTATAAGTTTTGTTTATCATATCACATCCACGTGACAAAATATAATATTCTGCTGTTATTGTACCTTAGGTCATAAGGCCTGTAGTATTGAATAAACTAGTCTGAGAGTCTGTATGGCAAGTCAAACACTGTATAGATTGTATGGCAAGTCAAACACTGTATATATGGTATGGAGAGTCAAACACTATAGATTGTATGGCAAGTCAAACACTGTATAGATTGTATGGTGAGTCAAACACTGTATAGATTGTATGGTGAGTCAAACACTGTATAGATCTTATGGTGAGTCAAACACTGTATAGATTGTATGGTGAGTCAATGTGGTGGTTAAATCAAGCAAAGTGGAATAACTTGCGAACACTACAGATAACATGGTGTGTCCGATATGGTATTGATTATACAATGTAAGTCAAACACTGTATAGGTTATATAGGATGTGTACAACATGCAGCCTATGGAAGTCTTCTCAGAAATGTATTGAAATAAGAGGACTGATGTTAATGAGATTGTTTGTTGAAACATTGAGTGAAATGGTGAATGTATTTATAGCCAATTAACCCCTTCTGTGTTCGCTGTCCAGAAAGGCACCGTTCATATTGGTGTGGGACTGTGCACATAATTGGTCCCAATGTGTACTGGCAATTATGAGATGTGTGATTACATTTCAGAAAAAAAATGCTGAGTTCTTTTCTCAGTATGTTACTGAAGACTTTACGACATACTTGAACAGGAAGAGGATAGAGAGTTGTCATGGAAACCACCTTGAAATGCAGGCCATGTGTGAACTGTTCAACCGACCAATAGAGGTCTACCAGTACAGTATTGGTAAGCAGTGAACATGCATAACTTGTGTGATAGTGTTTGGTGCAGAGTTGCATCACTCGGTTTGCCAGCAACCCTTGAGTTTGAGTTCGATTCCACAGTTTGCCCTGAAGTTGTATGTTTGCCGTGAAGTTGTAAGTTGTAATGTTGAAGACCTGCTTCACTTCAGGCTTTTCTCCCTCAAGTTTACGCACTGTGACATAACGTGCAGATTGTTCAAAGAGGACTTGAATCAATCTTTATAGTTCACAAACTCAATTAACTGGCGGTTCCCGTCATGGGTCTGACATATCAAACCCTTTTCTGGTATTCCCTGCCTTGACGTTGCTTGGATATTGCTAAAAGGCAGCATAAAAGAAAACCTGCTCGTTCTCATACTGTTAAAGACCAGACTACAGCACTTTAGGGGGTAACCTTGATGTTTTATGTTTGCAGAGCCAATCAACACGTTTCACAGTGCCTACAAGACAGACAATGAGCCAATCAAGATAAGCTACCATGGTGGTGTTCATTACAACTCAGTTGTTGACCCATACAAGGCTACAATTGGTGTTGGCTTGGGACTGCCAGGGCTGCAACCAGGAGTAAGTATTGAATAGTGGGGACAGGATGGGTGAGTATTGAAGGGTGTGGCTGTTGGGGTGAGTATTGAAGGGTGTGGCTGTTGGGGTGAGTAGTGAAGGGTCAGGATGAGTAGTGCAGGGTGGGTCTGTTTGGGTGAGTATTGAAGGGTGTGGCTGTTGGGGTGAGTATTGAAGGGTGAGGCTGTTGGGGTGAGTAGTGAAGGGTGTGGCTGTTGGGGTGAGTAGTGAAGGGTGTGGCTGTTGGGGTGAGTATTGAAGGGTGGGGCTGTTGGGGTGAGTATTGAAGGGTGTGGCTGTTGGGGTGAGTATTGAAGGGTGGGGCTGTTGGGGTGAGTATTGAAGGGTGGGGCTGTTTGGGTGAGTAGTGAAGGGTGTGGCTGTTGGGGTTAGTAGTGAAGGGTGGGGCTGTTGGGGTGAGTAGTGAAGGGTGAGGCTGTTGGGGTGAGTAGTGAAGGGTGTGGCTGTCGGGGTGAGTAGTGAAGGGTGAGGCTGTCGGGTTGAGTAGTGCAGAGTGGGGCTGTGGGGTGAGTGAGTGAGGGGTGGGGCTGTTGGGGTGAGTAGTGAAGGGTGGGGCTGTTTTGGTGAGTAGTGAAGGGTGGGGCTGTTGGGGGTATATTGAAGGGTGAGGCTGTCGGGGTGTGAGTGTTAAGGGAGTGAGTATTGAAGAAATTAGGAGCTGTTTGGGTGAGTAGTGAAGTGCAGAGTGGGGCTGTTTTGGTGAGTAGGGAAGAGTGAGGCTGTTTTGGTGAGTATTGAAGGGTGGGGGTGAGTAGTGTAGGGTGAGGCTATTGGGGTGAGTAGTGATGGGCTGTGCTGTTGGGGTGAGTATTGAAGGGTGGGTAGTTAGGCATGAAAGGTGAACATGGTGAAGGGTAGGGACTGTTGGAATCGATTTCAAAACGGACCGTTTGCAAGGTGTGAGAACTAAAGTTTTGAGTTTGGGGGGCAATATTAAAGGGATTTTGCATTATCACCATGATAAAAACATGGGACAATTTTGCAATTACAAATCTTTCTTTCTGAGACTTGGTTATTGTGTCTTTCCTGTAGCTTGCTGACAAGAACCAGATGAAAGATGCCGTGAAGATGTCTGAGAACACCCATATAGAGAAGACCATGCTGGAGGATAAGATCAGGGAAACAGACTGGGAGTTGACACAGGAGACCATTGAGGAACAGGTGGCACGGGAGTCCTATCTACAGTGGCTCAAGGAACAGGAGAAACAGGCTAACAGACAGGGAGGGGTAAGTTACCTCCACAGGGACTGTCAGGAGGGGAGGGGTCGGGTGGGTCCAGTCTACAGTGGCTCAAGGAACAGGAGAAACAGGCTAACAGACAGGGAGGGGTAAGTTACCTCCACAGGGACTGACAGGAAGGGTTGGGTGGATCCAGTCTGCAGTGGCTCAAGGAACAGGAGAAAGAGGCTAACAGACAGGGAGGGGTAAGTTACCTCCACAGGGGCTGACAGGATGGTGGGAGTGGAATGCCTCTCAGCATTGGCTCAAGTTGCGGCAGAGAGAGATTTGATATATTAATAGCCAATGATAACTATAAGGACAAGGTTAAGGAATGAGTGACAGTACATGCATGTTAGAACAAGATCAGCATTTCACTTCACATTCACACCTCTTTGTTTACCAGTTGAGTTATCCCCTCTTATGCAGCATGTAACTGAAAACAGGTCATCATACTGAATAACAGTAGTTAAGACATTTACTGATATTTGGTGTGGTACTTATTCCTTCTATGGCAGATTTGTTTGTTAAACATTTTTTCATTTTTGGTCTTAAAATCAGAATTTGTATCTGTTTCTGCTGGAAATATACCAAAATATTAAACAGTCTATGGCTTCAAGCTCAAATTGTTGGCATCATTTCAAGTGGATATTATCTGAACATAAATATGAATTTAAATTGCAATTGAAAGTGGTAACACAATGCAGTTTAGTGCTGTCAAGTATACAGTATACATAGCTTTGTTGTCAGGTCTAGGCTTAAATATTTATAGGCCACACAAAAACAAACACACACTATGGCACTGTTATGGTTTATGTTCATTGTCATTATTATTTCTTTTGTAACTGTTAAGTTGATGAAAAGATAATGTCTGTTTTAGGCCCGTTCAGCCAGTGCCACATGTAGCTCATCCAGCGAATACAGCCACAGTCTTTACGAGTCGGCTGGCTCCCCAGAGACACGTGGGGGTGGACGGTCACCACGAGTCCGTAGTGGACAGAACTCCTCCCAGAACAGTCCCCAGAGGCTAGATGGGGTGGACAACAGCCTGCCTCATGTGGCCAGTCCCAACATGCCAACTGCTGGTATGTAGTTATCTCCCTTGTTACAGACAGCTCATTGCATTTAACTTGTATTTTTCCTAACAAGATTACTTCAAACAACACAGTTACTAGACCCTTGCAGGTCTGGGTTGGAACTGGTCTTCAGCAACCCATGCTTGTTGTAGGAGGTGACTAATTGGATCAGGTGGCCAGGCTTGCTGTGTTTGACTTATTTTGATGTATTACATTGTATGCTAGACTGGATCATTTACAGACCCCTGTCATATAGCTGGAGTATTTTTAGTGCTGTGTTAAACAACAAACGACTAAACAGTTTTTTTTATCACCAAAATATGATATATCTGCATGACTTCACAGAAAGTATCAGTCACTTATCTATGCTAAGCTTTAGATTGAGCAGATGTCACAAGAAACAATAAAATATAAGTTGAATACAGAATGAGATTGAGATGATATATGTTGTTTGAAATATGAGCTAAAATGGCTCACATTGTCATTGCATTGTGCTATATATATATGAAGGGCTTTAAGGTGGGGTAGCCTAATGGTTAAAGCGTTGGCTCGTCACGCCGAAGACCCGGGTTCGAATCCCCACATGGGCACAATGTGTGAAGCCCATTTCTGGTGTCCCCCGCCGTGATGTTGTTGGAATATTGCTAAAAGCAGCGTAAAACCAAACTCAGTCAGTCAGAAATGCAATAGAAAGAGTTACTTCCCTTTCTATGTGATTTATGAAACCATAAATGTTGTTACCAGTTAAATTCTGGACACATTAGTTTTTGTCTGCATTTTAGGACAAGAAATCTGAAAACCATATAAGTTTGTTATTATATTCAAATTAGCTTCAACAACTGTGTGTATTAGACAACCGTGAAGGTCCAGATTAGAATGTACCTTCAGCAACCCATGCTTGTCGTAAGAGGCGAATAATGGGATCGGGTGGTCAGGCTCACTGACTTGGTTGACACATGTCAACGTCAAAGATGTTTTATGTACAAAAAGCCTCCGGCCCATATACATTGGAGTTATACATATACATTATACATATGGTGAAATAAGTAGTAATTAGTGATCCAAACAGCAAATCATGATACAGGCAGTAAATTATGTACAAGTAGTGAAATACAATGGACCTACAACACTTTTTATCAGATTGTTACGTTTAATAAGAGCATAATTGATATAGTACGACAGCTTTATTATTACATGCTGGTCAGTTGATGAAAGAAGTAGTTTAAATGCTAATGTAGGTGGATTACATAGATAATATTCAGCTATATATATGTCATCGGTTGCGCAGATTGATGCTCATGCTGTTGATCACTGGATTGTCTGGTCCAGACCCGCTGCCATATAGCTGGAATATTGCTGAGTGCGGTGTAAAACTAAACTCACTCACTCACTGTATTAGACATGTATTTAAGGGAGTTAACTCAGAAATAAACCCACATCTGATTTTAGACTAATTAGGAAACTGACGCTCTTTCTCTCTACATAGGATGTTCCCAGTCTCCGAAGATGGAGCAGTCCCTCTTGCCTAACATAGCGGACATCGAGGTGCCGGGCGCAGTTGGAGGAAGCTTTGAGGAAACCACTTCCATTATGAATCAAATTCCCCCTTCCATGCTAGGTGAGTCACTGTCAGCGAACAAGAACTCCTTCATACTATGTGAGCTCACTGTCAGTAAACAGCAACTCATCCATGTTGGGTGAGCTCACTGTCAGTAAACAGCAACTCATCCATGCTGGGTGAGCTCGCTGTCAGTAAACAGCAACTCATCCATGCTGGGTGAGCTCACTGTCAGTAAACAGCAACTCATCCATGCTGGGTGAGCTCACTGTCAGTAAACAGCAACTCATCCATGCTGGGTGAGCTCGCTGTCAGTAAACAGCAACTCATCCATGCTGGGTGAGCTCACTGTCAGTAAACAGCAACTCATCCATGCTGGGTGAGCTCCCTGTCAGTAAAGACCAACTCATGCGTGTATCTATTTGCTATTTTACTTCTGTGATGAAACTTGACAGATCATGCATAATGATCTGTATAATGATCCCAAGGGTTCAGTTTGAATGCAATACTTCATGGATGATCCTATGTGACCATTCTTGAAGCACTAACATCTCCAGTATGCTATACTTTTGTTTTCCTGACTGATGATCTGTGATGATTCTTGAAGCACTGACGTCTCCAGGTCCCCATGTGTGTTGTATTCCTTACTGATAATCTGTGGTGATTCTGGCAGCACTACAGCCTGCCGTGTCCCATGCATGATGTATCCTCGGGTCTCATCTCCTGTTCGTGTTACTGTGCTGCAGGTCTGTCAGAATGGGATGAAGATGACATCCTGGCACAGGTGATGGCTCAGTCCCAGCAGGAGTACCTGGACAGTCTCAAGAAGCACAACACCCCAGCCAGCCAGTCCCCTATCCTACCCCCATTGGAGGACATTGCCAGCTGCAGCACGCCTGGTCTTAGTGAATCCTTCCATTATGACCACCCAAGCTAACACATGACCCCACCTTTATCATAGCCTATTGTTATACTCTATCTCTCTCTCTCTCTCTCTATACACACAACAAACAAGTACTCAGTGCTGTAGTGGTGGGGACATGGGGTTCAAGCTGGGGGTTCTGTTGTGTAACTGACATATTCCTTGTACCAGTGTTCTGGGAAGACGTCCAACTGATGCATTAAAAACTGCAAGAGTTAAATCTGTTCTTGAGTATGTGTAAGTAAAAAGTATCAGGGTGATACTGCAGTTGATGCTGCTCTGTATATGTTGTTAAACCTAAAGACTTGTGCCCACATGTAAGGAGGAAGTTTCTTACATGTGAGTGTTATTACATATTACATTAACGGATGCTGATGTCAGTGTCAATCAGAGCTTATGTCATCTCTAAAGGCTAAGTTTAAGTTCTTTTCTGTTTTGATGTTTTGAGTTTATGTCAAGTTTTTCTGAGTTTTTGTTTTCTTTCTTATGTTATGTAAGTTAGATAAAATATGCTCATCGATGTTGAGAGAAAATTATCTAGAGAGCACATGTATGGGCTGTACTGTTTAGTTTCAGGTTTAAGGGGGTCTTTAAATGGTCAGCAGGTCTGCGTGGGAGTTGTCTGTACCCTTCAAGAACTACTTAATTTGCTGCCATTGAGCATGAAGTGCAGTGCTGGTGAAGCTTGTAATGGTGGCATGTGTTCCTGATGATAATACTGACTGCAGCAGTGTAGGGAGCTTGGTTTGAGGATGTGTTCCTGATGGATGTTGTGGCTGCAGCGGTGTTTGGAGCTTGTGTTAGGGTGCTGCAGTGTTTGGAGCTTGTATTTGTAGGTGTGTTGCCTTGCCCCACTGGCTCAAGGAAATCTTTGTGCTAAACCATTATAGGTTTACATTAGAAGGTTACAAGATCTTAGCACTAATTCATTTTGTTTAAATGGGTCAAGAGAATTTGATGTGACTGTAGCAGTGTAACGGAGCTTGTATCAGGAACAATGTTCCTTGAGTTTGGGGTCAAGGGCAGCAGTGTTTGGAGTTTACATATCAAGCAAATTTACGGCTGCCCTCCCCTTCCCTACAGTTTCATCACACTCTTGCAACATTCATCACACTTACACTCCAATATATTTATGTTAAGTAAATTAACTTTATGCAATGGTTTTTGTCTTTTTTGTGTGTTTTGTCAGTTGTCTTTTCATGCAAATTTCTCAATACAGCTTTTTCTTAAGTGGCATTTTCAGCAATAAGAACTTGTTCAGAGCACAAGTTGAATACAATGATTTGATTGTGGGTAACTGTAAAAGTAAATTCGCTTGTAGGAAGTTTGTAAGGAACATTCATGATGAACAGACATAAGGGTTTTCAGCCATGTTATTTTGCCTGAAGTTATCAGCCCTAAATTGTGTTGTGAAAATCAATGAGGTATGTAATCTGGGTGGTTGTGCTTTCTATAGTTATTAAAGGGTACAAAATCTTGCTAAAAGTTGGTACTTGTGTAGGCTACAGTTTGTACATTCTTACTGTCTCAATAACTTCTGAAAGACATAATTTGTACTGCATAATCCAATTTTCAGGAATGGACAAGGTCTGTAACCAGGTTTGATGTGTTGGGTTTTACAAATCTTTTGAAAACTGAGTTCAAGGTCAGTGATTGAACTGACTAAGGGGAAAGGTATGAGTCTTGAGGTCATCTCACTAAAGGGGTATTATGTTATATAAACTCCACAATCATCCAACAGTCAGTGGGTATTCTGTAACCTGTTGTATTCATCAGCCAGAGGGTGTTGTATAACCCATTGTATTCATCAGTAAGTAGTCATTATATGGCCTTAGGGGTCAGATGTCTATAAACAAGTGTGCAGTGGACCCTGTCCAAGGGTAGTTATATCAGTCAGATCGGCTCAAAATAAAGTGGGGGGCAGACCTTTATCTGAAGCATGTGGCAGGACTCGTGTAAAAAAATCTACATGCTCATGATAATTGATATTTAAACCTCTGTTATCAACAAACTGCTAATAATCGCTATAACAGTTGTGTATTCTATGCATCAAACTAGTGATATTAATAGTTTTCTAAAAAAAAAGCATCATTTTTATTATATTTATATTTCATTTCTGAAGAAATGACACATTGAAATAAATATTAACTGTTCTCCATACACCTTCAGGTATGTTCAAGTTGTTGTACAGGATGTGATTGTTTGAACTGTTTACCATACAACTTATTCAGAAGTGTGAGATCACATTGGTATGCTTGTATTTGGAGGCGTTCATAGAAATGTCTTTTTGTTTAGAATATTTTCACTACGCATACAGACAAGAGCTGGACAACTCACTGAGATCGAAGATCTGTTGATAATACATCCCCATCAGAAAGCGTATTGTGAACTAGTGTCGAAAGTGCTGCAATTTTCTGTGCAGGGCTGCATCCTTGGGTACTCTAGGAACTCAAGTCATTTGTCCAATATTCCTCCTGATTGTTTCGTTGCATACCCTTGCTTGTTGCTTTCACCAAAGTACAAAATGAAAGAACTGCCTTACTTCCAGGCTTTTCCTCCCTTCAAGCTGGCATATCTGGAGTACTGTTCAAAGCGACAAACAACTCACTCCTCTGACTTAACATTGGTCCTTGTCACAGATGATCACAAATCAAGGTTTGTCTGAACCCTCATCAGTCCTTCAACTGTTTTGCATCGCCACACAGCTTCCAGGATAACATCTCATGGCTTATTGCTAATGGGATTCTCTGTCTCCTCAGCTTGCAAAACCAAGATTTTACTTCTTGTCAGCCTTGTCTTTACTTTCATGGTATTGTGTGTCTTTGTTTGGAGAAAGTGATAGTTTTGGCAATGATTTTAGGTGTTTGTTGTTTGGTATCTTATGCATCAGAGAATGGCCTTTAGCCAGGGATGGGGCAGTGTGGTAGCCTAGTGGTTAAAGCGTTTGCTTGTCACGCCAAAGACCCGGGTCCGATTCTTCACATGGGTACAATGTATGAAGCCCATTTCTGGTGTCTCCCTCTGATAATGCTGGAATATTTCTAAAAGCGGCATGAAGACATACTGCTGCTGATCAGTGGCATCATTACAGGCACAATCTCATGGAAGAGATACATCCAAGGCATTATCTAAAGGAGATCGTCATTGGCTTTAGCACCATACAGTCTTGCTCTTGTTCAGATGACAGACACACAAAACAGAACGTGTAGCATGACATGCAGGTCAGACATTTTTTTTATGCTGGTTCTTGTATGAAAGCTGTTGTAGGTGCACACTTTGAGAAATGAGAATATGTTTCTGTTTATATTTATGCCAGGTTGTGACATGAATGGGAGTAGTGGTGACTGAGATAACCTTGGGATAGGCAAGTAAAGGAAGCATGTTGCACTATCTGCCAGAATTTATGCTTGTCAAGGGACACAGACTCAGGAGTCTCGGGCCGGGAAGTTTTCTGAACAGAATTACATTCTTATGTCTGCAAAAATCTGATTGTTTTTTTATACCAATTTCTACCTGATTGTGCTTCAACATCAGCACATTCCCATGCTAATGGGTTTCACCAAACTAGTTAATGTCCATATTAAGTGACAGACTATGATATGACCAAAATACTGTTAAAGATGTATCTGACCAAAAGTATTCACTTGCTCACTGTTCCTAGTCCAAGTTTCTGTGACTGTAACCTTGGTTCTACTTGCCTGGTCATTTGTGTGCATTGTGTGGGGGTAATGTTAGATGGATGTGTTGAACATTATTGCTGGTTCTTCTGGTAGATACCTGCACTGTGATAACATTGATTATAGGGCAGAATCAAATGTGTTGGACAGACAGGACTCTCAGAAGGTTGTAGTATCAGTAGCAATGATATCTTTATGATGTCCTAAGGTTGAACAACTGAAACATCTATGTCACATCCTAGGAAGCCTTTGTCTTCATTTCAAGTTGTTACAGATAATTTCTATCAATTTAGGTGTTTTCTGTAAGTTTTTCTGTCTTATATTTATATGGATTCTATCAATTTCCCTTGAGACAAACAGCACAAGTTTCTGTAAACGAAAGTTGACCATTATCAGTAGGTGTATTTGTTTCACTTGTATGTATGGTGGGGTGTAGGTGGATCTGACTTTTTAGTGTTTGATTGTAATTATAGTTGATTCTTGAATGATATTTCCCGCTGAGCAAATTATCTAAGTTTGATGATTATCAAATGTAAGGATGCTCTTTGTTCATAAATGATTATTTTCCCAATAAACTGTGATTTTATTTCAAATGAGTGCTATGCATCAGACTGATGATTAGTTTTAGTTTGTACTCTGTTGCCCTCAGTTCATCCTCTTCCTCCTGATCCGACAGAGCTGTAGCCCTGGACCTGCTGAACAAACAGTTTGTGCCCAGCCACAGGTGATAACTGGCCCTTTGAATGAACACCAAACAGTGATAAGTGATGGTGTCTGCTATTTTCACCTTCTGTCAAAACAAAGCCTTTTTATTTGCCATTTTGTTTAAGGTGCAAGATCTTATTCACCTGTGTCCCGATCAACAAAGCATTCTTAACGCTACGACATTCGTAAGTGAATGGTAGACTGTAGAGTTACAACCGGTCAAAATATTATGAATGCTTTGTGGTTCGGGACCCAGGTATTTTTTTAGCAATCAGGATTAAGACAATAGCTTTTTTATGCACGTGTTCACTGACAAGCATGTTAATTTAATGCAGAATACACACCATCACCATTCATGAGAGATGAAATTCTTCATATAAAGACTGGTTTTAAATAAAATATGCAAAGTGTCAGATAAATAAACTTTCTCTTTATGTGATGCATGTGATACATGTATCAACCATGGTTTAAGTACCCATGTGATAAGCATGATGGTGGACACTTGGAAGGATGGAGGATGTGACTTCAGGGAGACTTGCTTTGTTTTGTTGTTTGTTCTCTGTGACAATGGGCATGCAGTCAGGTCAGTCAGGTGGAGTTATGTCTCTTTTCTGGAGGAGGATCCTGGCCTTATCTGTAGCCCAGGTACCATTGCTTCCTGCCATGCTGCAGTCTGTGTGGCAGGCAGTTTCTCACTGTCCAGGTCAACATAGCCTTAGTTGCAAATAAACTATGACTTGCAAATTACCATCTCTTCTGTTGTCATTGTTAGCTGTAGATGGATTCCATGCCCGAATCAGATGGATTGCCAACCAAAAATAGGTGAGATTGCCAACCGGAAATAGGTTATATTGTCCACCGGAAAACACACGCACGCACACACACATATAAACATTTTTATTTAAAGAAAACTAAATTTCTGAGACTTTATGTAAGTCTACTTAATGATAGTTGAGGTGTGTCTCCTCCACATACACAGAATCAAGATGGCATATGCGTCCTGACTTGGACACCAGTGCAGTATTCCGGATTGTAATGTGACGACTATTGCAAGTCTGTGTCAACTGATACCCTCAGAATCGATCCCAGTCCATATTCCATTATTCTAAATAGTCATGGTTATATATCAGTGTCTTAAAGAATATCAGAAATTTTGTATCCAGAAATTAAATACAGGAATGATAAGGTCCGATGAAGTCAAGCAATGTCTGCTAATGTGAAATGGTTTTAGGATTATTACACTTATAGAAAGACGTGAATCCACATGGCACCTTGTACTATTCAGGTTAGAGGCTTAGACTGTCACTATGAATATATACACAAAGAACTTAAATAAGCACCCCTGTATTTTTGCAATGATAGGTTTTCAATGCGTACATAAAACGTCTCCTGGTGACCACGATAGAAAAACCGGAGTTTTTCTGACCCGTATGATCCTTTGATTCGTTAAAAACGGCAAAATGATTGGAATCAATGTTGATTTTATGATGATAATTGCTCCTTTAAAAAAAAGCCCACTGATTTTCATACAAAACCATGTCTGTACAAGTATGGCCCTGGAATGTTTAATATTGAATTTTTTGGTGAATGTGGACATTTAAAATGTCATATTGCGTGTCTTACGCGATTCAAGGTCAATACCGAGTGTAACCTCCATGTGACTGTATGACAGCCAGCACTCTCCTCCTCATATCCCCTGTCAGCTTCCCGATCCTCTGAAGGGGCAGTCTACGCCATTCATCGTGTAAAGCAGCTTCCAGTTTGGCCAGGTCCTGTACAGGAGAATCCCTTTGTTGCACACGACGACCAATCACGTCCCAGATATGATCCAAAGGGTTAAGATTGTGGCTCATTCATTCGTGAGATATATCAGGGGGTGCTTTAATAAGTTCTGTGTCTATACATAATTGTAACAGAAAGAAACAATTCCTTTTAAATTGTAAAGGAGCCGGTGTGAGATGGGAGATTCAAAACCTGAGGAACTCTGAATTTTCTTCATTAAGGGCTTTAGCATTGAAGAAAGGGCTGGTGGAAGGGAAATGTAGTTCAGGGACTCGGACAGACTACATTAGGGAGTAAAATCAGTTTTATAGTGCTTGCCAACACGACCCCGCACGACACATTGTAATGACTCCACAACAAAGTTTTACCATTTTAATGTCGATGGGCGGGCAGGTGAAACGTACTATCTCACAACATATTTCGGTTTGACTCGGCCAGAGAATCGAACCACAGACGTAACTAAACCGCTAAGGCTGTGGCAAAGAATAATCAGCGGTGAATACATTTTTCACACGAATACATTGTAGTTTTTTTATATGAAACATACTGATTACCGTCTAAAACAGGTTTGGGAGTTTGGGGCTCAATCTGCTCGGTCGATACCTTGAACAGAACGTGCAACCAAAGTGACGACAATCCCACATATCCGAAAAGACACGCCCGCCTGTCAACAGCTCGGCATGCGACGTGTGTAGCACGTTCTGCACGTGCAGGACATCCGATGGAATATCGGTCTTATTACACGCTGATGACATGTCTACATCTGAAATTGTGGTGGCAACGTTTGGTTGGATACTGAGCAGGGAAAACTTGATGGATATTTCAGTACCTGGTAGCTGCTTGCAGAGAAATATTACGTAGAAAGTATTCGCTCTTTCACTGCCACAGGTATGTACAACGTCTTAAAACAAACAATTTGTGTGGCGTGCAGTTTAGCAGAAATATTGCCTCAACGTTACTTTTCATAGTTCTATAGAAACGCTTACAGAAAGTGCATATCTTGAAGCAGGAAATTTGTTTGGAATTTCTTCAAAAATGTAGCAGTCCTTGACACGTAAAATAGCGTGAGGAAAGATTTCCGCACGTACCCCCCACCTTAAATTTCATAACAAACAGAATTCTTTGGGAAACATTTTAAACAGTTGATGTGAGTCGCCTGTTATTGTTGTTCAGTAAAACGGAGTTTGATAATTATGTTCAACACCCCATGCCCAATTACATCGTAGGAAACACACACTACCTGTTTCAGGGAGTGTACAGTGTGGGTTCAATATCCCTTGCAAGGTACAATCACCTCAGTGAGGGTGATCGGCCAGGGTTACAGATGGATAAACATGTACAGTAAGATATTACATGTGTGGCCAGATGGTCCCCGGCGCAGATCCACGTGGTCGTCTAGGCGTCTTTGCTGTACATGTCAGTGGACGTAAGGTTGGGTGGGTGGGTGAGTGAGTGAGTTTAGTTTACGCCACTTTTAGCAATATTCCAGCAATATCACGGTGGGAGATACCACAAATGGGCTTCACACATTACCCATGTGGAGAATCGAACCCGGGTCTTTGGCGTGACGACGGGATGTTGCTCTTCGTAATATTGCCGCGTAAAACGATATTCACTCCACAAGCTACAGCCCCTGGCGCGGCGACGGTCGACCTTTAGGCATGTCATAAATTGTGATTGTGAGTTCGAATCCTGGTTCGGTCTGATTGTTTCTTGGTTTGCCAGCACCAAGGTTCCGACATGAATTGAGGAGTAAGCTCATGGTAACAATAGACGCTGTCATGAACATGGAGGAAGGAACGTTCTATTCGATTGTGACAGATTTGTTGATAACAGTCAGCAATATTCAGCTTCATGACAGCGGTCTGGAAATACTGGACCATAAACCCTGGTGGTTGACATCACCAGCACCCTGCTCTGCATGGACCAAGACAGTGAGCCATACCACCCATCCGTTAGTCAGCTCATACAAGCAAGGGTTGCTGAAGACCAGTTGTACACAGGAACTTCCTCGTTTTCTTATAAACGTGCAATGTTATACTTTTGGAGAAGGTTTTGTCATAGTTGCGTCGAACCTTTAAGTTCTCAAAGTAGCATTCAGTCCAATTGATCGGTGCTTCTTCACTGTGCACGATCCCAACACGAGACTTGTTATCCAAGCGACCTGTGTCGATTCAGTCTGCACGGGAATCACGAGATGTTACGACATCAGCTTTGACCGAGTTCGGGTGAAGAGCCAATGACGTTCAACCTGTCACTTGTTGAGCATTGACAGTACATCTCCCTTCAGACTTTGACAAACTGCTGAATTTGAATTTTATCGTCTTTGTGGGAATAACGAATCTGTTGATAAACGACCGTCTTTGCTGAACATTTGATATTGACTTTTATGTACATATAACTTGCTTTATGAATTTACTTTCAGACACATTCCACGAAATCCCAAAAGGTAAGGGACTTTTGCTTTTACTGAATTGGTATATTCTGTGACTTTGTATACCTTGGAAGGTGTGGTATATTCTGTGACTTTGTATACCTTGGAAGGTGTGGTATATTCTGTGACTTTGTATACCTTGGAAGGTGTGGTATATTCTGTGACTTTGTATACCTTGGAAGGTGTGGTATATTCTGTGACTTTGTATACCTTGGAAGGTGTGGCATCTCTTGTTCAATGGCAAAACGTGCATACATTTACCCAAAGTGCAATGTGTGAATACATGGTCTTCTGTGGTGTATGAGCTGCCATCGACTTTGTTTCTTGGGGCACGGTGGACCAGTCGAAACAGCCGTACGTGGCTGTTCACAGTTGCGTCCCTTGTTCGTTCCAGAAGCGTATGGTCGTGGGATCGACCTGATAATGTTTCTAGGTTTGTCTGGTGCCTGCTGGCGCTCGCCATTAATGTTCGGCTCAGGGTCAGTTTCGTGTGTCTGGGTGGGGTATTCATGGTTAACTGCGGCATGGTATGTCAGTGAACTAGCGCTACAAGCATACACATACACACGCATGCACGTCGTCGTATGAGCGAAATATTCTCAAGTACGACGTAAAAAACCATTTCACCTCACCTCTAGGTTCGTGCATCACATCGGGCGTCTGTCCTCTCACAAACGAACCCAGAAACAGTTCCTTAATTGTTTAACAACGATGTTCATTATCTTGAGTTATGTAACATATGTATGTAATCTTGTTTTATTTCCTGAATATATTATATTGTCTGATGTAACCGACGCATGTCCACCCTCTTGAACTCCGTAGTCATCTGCATGGTGATGTAATCCGCCTCTCCACGGCAGGTCCAGACTTCACTACATGCAATACATCGACGTGCAATTGCGTAATTACTTTTAATCACTTGCTTTAAGATTTGATTTATGAGTTCCTGAATTTGTTTGGCTAATTTGTGAGTAATATATACACACCGACTTAGATAGTTTATGTTAGAAATATCTAAAATGACTGTGGTTTGTCGTATAAGCAAATAATCCGAGATAACTTCTTGACTAATAAGTAGTGATGAACAAATACTGACTGACCTGTTTTATCAAAGTGGAGTGATGATATGACTTCATACTCCGAGGACAAGAAGTAGAACTGTTTGAAGCCAACATTTGTGACTGTGTTATCCGTTAAGATGGTATATTATAGTTTAAAGTATCATACTCGAAATATAAAGCTTGTAGTAAAAGAAGGCCACGGACGAAATATGCCATCACTGAAAGACTGTCAAATCTGTCAGTCTGGGGCTGTTGGCGACGAATTGTATTTTCAGTTTAAACGTATTTCGTGGAAATATATAACTCAGGTAAAAAGCAAGTATACAAAGGTATTTAAATAGCGAGTCGTTAGATATTAATTCCATCAATAACACTTAAATGTCAGACTGTAGTGGCATTAAAATAGCATTTGCAACGTTGAAACACGTGTTTTCGTTTGACGTATGGAAGTTAATAGAGTTCAGTTTTAC